AGTTTAAAATCTGGAATGCGTAATACGAAGGAATTTTTAAAAGGAATTATTGATTTTTAATTATGATTGTAAGTACTTTTTATTTATTATTACATCTTAATGTTGATTATAATATCTTTTGTCTGATTTATTCTATGATTCAGATTTATTTATCCATGATTATATTTTTATCATTTAATTAATTGTTTTTTGCCCGTTTGATCATAAATGATAGATTTAATACTTGAATTTTATGAAATAAAAGGAAATATGAGAAAACAAAATGTGGAAAAATAAAGTGGGATAAATTATTGCAACAATTATGCGTTCATTAAAAACGTTCATTAATTCTTTCATTTAACTTTTCACCAACCAATGTTTTTTTTTTCCCCTGTTATGAATTGTTCGTTATATATATTATATACGTGTCTAGAAGTTTTTCACAGCAAACAAAATATTAGGCAAATTTAAATTACAAGCTATGTACTGGCTCTACGTGATGTACTATCATGGAGATAAAATAAAAAGGATAAAAACAAAAAGATTGACATGATTTAATTCTGTAAAATTAATTTTAACAAAATAAAATAAAATTTAAATAATATATATATATATAATTAAAATCTTTTCATAATATCTTTCTGCTGGACATTTCTCATATACAAATTTTTTACTCGTTAATCTTGTTCATAAAATTTTTAATAGAACAATTGTTTTTGTGACAATAATAACATCAAATTTAAAATTTTTTAAAGAAACATTAATTATCATTAAACTGTGAAAATTAAAAAAAAAATTTTGTTAAATTTTTATCCAAAAATCGTGAGAATAAACTAAAAATTTTATCATCAAAATCCACTTAAGAAATAGAGAAAACCATGCCATTGAAATCCCTTTTTGATTTATCTCGATATCTCTATTGGTTGCCGAGATATAAGGATTTAAAATGTCCATAGCGTTTACACAATACAGAAGTTATGAATGGATTCCTGACCTACTTTTTTTTCCTGGAAATGCGTACTACGCTCTTCCAGGAATTACGTCTGCCACTTGTCGGGAGCTTAGAATAGGTCAGTAACACGAGGTGCGAGCGAGAGGTCCGAGTAAGCGACAAGGAAGGAGATACTAAACGATTAAAAATTACCCTTCTCTTTACACGACGATATCTCAAGAACCGGAAGTCGGATCGGGATAAACGAAAGAGCGTTTTAAAGGGGAAGGTTCCCCGCTTCTAACGATCGCTCACTCATTGACCGGAAGTCAGTATCTTCGGAATTACAACGGTTCAAAATTTTGCTAATTTTAATAAAGTTTTATCATGTTTTAGGTAAATGATTAAAAGTTACTTTCTCTTTACACGACGATATCTCGAGAACAGAAAATCGGATCGGAATAAATGAAAGAGCATTTTAAAGGGGAAGGTTCCGCGCTTCTAACGATCGCTCACTCATTGACCGGAAGTCAATATCTTCGGAATTACAACGGTTCAAACTTTTGCTAATTTTAATAAAGTTTTATCATGTTTTAGGTAAATGATTAAAAATTACTTTCTCTTTACACGACGATATCTCGAGAACAGAAAATTGGATCGGAATAAATGAAAAAGGATTTTAAAGGGGAAGATTCCGCGCTTCTAACGATCGTTCACTCATTGACCGGAAATCAGTATCTTCGGAATTACAGAAGTTCAAAATTTTCATAATTTTAATAGGATTTCGAGGTTTGCTTGCACGATAGATATTCGCATTCATTTTTAATTATCAATAACAAAAAAGCAAAATCAAAAACAATTTATTATGATCTTCTAAGATATGCAAAGCAATTAAATTTTTATTAAAAATTATTTGTGTAAAAAAGAAAGAAATTAATTTGCCATATAAATGATCGGATTAATTCAATGAGAGATGCAATATAGTTATTGCTCTTTTAATCCTCCTCTTATACCGGCTGGACTTAACGAGCATTCTTGGTCAAAATGCCAGAAGTTATCTGTCGTTGAAGAGCAACTTAGATCCAACTTGTACACCTTAAACTGGAACAAAGATTGTCCATTAATTTACGGACGCGGCGTGTCGTCTTGGCTGCTGTTTCATGCCACAAACTCGCTTCCGGTTTTCGCGATTTAAGGCGTTATTTCCTGTTGGCCGAGAACTTCTCTTCTTTTTCTCTCTTTTCTCACATTCATTGCAGACAATATTTTCATTCATTTTACTCTCTTTATTTCCTTTCATTCTTTCCTCTTTTTTTCATTTTTCATCAATATCAGATAAATAACAAGAAAATAATGTTTCACTATTTTCTTAAAGCGATCGAAAAATACAACGAATAATTTTTCGAGAGAATTGAAACAATCAATATTATTGTAAAATACTTTTTTCTTTTTTTTTTTCTTGCATTCTCAAAATTTACTTAATTAATCGAGGTATATTGTGGAACGCTCGATACGCTTGTAATTATTATTAATCGACAAATGAATCGCAAGGGAGTTCGCTAATCTCTATGCCTCGAAATTGAAACGTCGAAATAGCTGCATATGATTATGCTTCGTGTGCAAGTCGATCCGAGCATCCCTAGAGATGCAATCCCGCCCGGCGAATATTCAAATTAGCGAGTTACCAATCTAATTCTGATCTATGAAATACTTTAAAAAAATGCCAGAAATAATTTATCACGATTCATTCCGTTGATTTAAACAATTTCGAGCTTCGTTCAACTTCCTCATATGTAGATTAATTAATTAATCATTTGAATTTTCGTTCAAGTTCACTCATTTGTTAAATAAAATATATATACAAGATGAAATACTATTTTTTTTTAATCTTTCATTGTTAGTGAACAAATTAAAAATTTTTTCGAAGAAACTTTATTTTTCTATCTCTTTCGCTTTTTTATACAGCACCATAAAAAGAATTTAAGATTATTGTTCTTTAAAAGAAAAAAAATACATAGAAAAATTTCAAAAGTGAATTTTTATCTGTTCATTAATAATTAAGATAATCGAAAAAAAAATTAAATAGTTTATCTTCTATAAAAACAAAAAAAGATTTTATCTAAACATTTTTTTAATGATTTTTTTTTTAATGAATTTCAAAGAATCTAACTTTCCTATATTTTTTTTTCTTTTTTTATGTAAATACCCACAATTTTCACGATTCCTCAAAACTGACAGAAATATCTCTGCCGAACAAACGTCAGCTGCAGTAGTTCCCAATCTTCTTCAACCATATCATGAAACCTTCGATACGTCTTGAAGAAACGTAGATAACCCAATTTTACAATCCAAGTTTACGTATCTTCGACATATCTCATTCCATTAATCAATATAACCACGTCAACGTGGTAACAAGATTTTCAACAGTTTCGTAATTTTTTTCCTCAATTCATCATAATACGTCCCTTTTTCCGTCTTTTAACAAGAGTGGAGGAAAAATAAAATGAAAATTAACTCCTTGTTCATCTGTAATGATATTTTTAACATTTTCATAATTTTTATCTTCCCAATCGTCTAAAATATACTTCCACGAAGAGGAAAATAAAATAAAAACCAACGGTCGTCTGTCATTTCTCATAATTCCCCCGATGAGATAATAAGACGTCGTGTGTAGAACGAGATTATTTTGCCCCCTCTGCTAAGGGATGAGAAAAAAGAAAAAAAGACAAAGAAGAGGAAGACGAAGAAGAAAAAATTCGATATCGCTGTAAATTTCCTTTATCCGGTAGAATGGAACTATTCTCGCCTCGTTTCCTATCGAGGCTGTTATTCCTTTCAGCGCGAAAGCCTCCATAAAAATCAAAACTTAATAACACTCGTTCCCGGTTAACGGGACAGGAGAAAGTTCACAATAATCGTGGAGAAATTTTACGGAATTATTGGCTCCAGAGACGTACTCGTTGATGCATTGCCTTTCTTCCACTGCTTTATTTAATCGATTCCACTGGTTCCGCGATATTAAGAAGTTCCTCGGTTCTTCTTCCATCGGTTGAAACTCTTCAATCGCTTATTCCACGAATGGATTCAAGGAGGATGAAAAGGAAGAGGGAATCTATTTCGTTTTACGCAATCTGTGATGATGGCTAATCGAGGGGGAGTATAACAAATCGTAAGTTTTTCCATGAAAGACTGTAATCTCGTAATACTTTCAATTTTGAGATATTCCGAGTATTTTAATAAAAGTTAAACGAAACCTTAGATTATCGTGTCCGTTGCTTAATTCTACGTTAATCAACTTTGGAATAATGGAGATGAATTAAAAAATGAATAAGATATAAATATGAAGAGTAGACGAGAAGAGAGAAGCGTAAAAGGGAATAAATGAAGAGTAAATGAAATAAGAGATCGGTGGTTGCTTTCATATCCGAGTTAATTTCTCTGCTTAAAAAGTTGTTATTGCGACGAATCCTTCAAAGACGAAAAGTCGTTAGGCCACTTGCTTTCGAGCAAGTCCGAGCGGAAACCGTCCAAACGCTTGATCCGAGATTCCTTCTTACCCTCCTCCGGGAGATATTTTGAGAAAGCGAGGGGTTACAAACTCGTGCCCCGTCATCCAGGGAATTGTGAGGTGCATAAATTTGAAGAAAGAGCCGAGTTGCTTTCATCCCGTTGGACTTTTTAATCTCTTCCTCTGACTCTGCTTTTTTTTTCTTTTTTTTCTTTTATTTTTCGTTTCTTCTCTTCAAGGGTCATGGATGCAAATGCGCAATTATGATTCAACGATCGTGAAAAGATTTTTCTTTTTTTTTTTTTTTTTTTCTTTTAAAACTTACTCCTCCAAGAGTAAAGTCTTGCGTATTTTTATTTGGACTTCCTCGAGTTGAAGTTTTGGATGAAATTCCTTGGAACTTGCACCTCTGAGATTTGAAACTTTTTAGGGGTTGAAAGTTATGCGGTGTATATATATATATATATATAGCTCGGTTCAAGGGCTGTTATTTGGAACTATATTTTCTGCAAAATGACAATACAACAGGGAAGTGGAAATTGTCGTTGGAAAATGACCGTGGTATTCTCTACGTTCTTCCAGGTCGAGATGAAGGGTATTTCTGGCCCTATCGAGTTCAAAGAAGGGCGGAGAATTCAGTTCAAATTGGACCTTTTGAAACTGAAGCAACATTCGCTTGTTAAGGTACTTTTTAGAATATTCATTAGGTGGAACGAAAAAATCAAAATCAAAATGCAAAAGAATAATTTCTTTTTTTAATAATAAATAATGGAAAGAAACTTGATTGCGATTCTCGATATTTGATTATGTATAAGAAGATAATGTTAAATTAAAAAATTTTCTCTTCAGAAATTCAAAATTTGAATATTATTGTGTAAATAATATTTTTATTTACTATCTTTTTCTTTTTATATTTCTACTATTTATTCATAGAATTAAAATGGGAATTGAAACAGGTCGGTGAATGGCGTCCAGGCATCGGTGTCAACGTGACTGACACCGCGGCCTTCTTCGAGCCGGGAGCAGCGAATGTCACCCTCCTTGTCATCACTATATTGGTGAGTCACCAAGTTAATGCGGTGTATATATATATATATATATAGCTCGGTTCAAGGGCTGTTATTTGGAACTATATTTTCTGCAAAATGACAATACAACAGGGAAGTGGAAATTGTCGTTGGAAAATGACCGTGGTATTCTCTACGTTCTTCCAGGTCGAGATGAAGGGTATTTCTGGCCCTATCGAGTTCAAAGAAGGGCGGAGAATTCAGTTCAAATTGGACCTTTTGAAACTGAAGCAACATTCGCTTGTTAAGGTACTTTTTAGAATATTCATTAGGTGGAACGAAAAAATCAAAATCAAAATGCAAAAGAATAATTCTTTTTTTAATAATAAATAATGGAAAGAAACTTGATTGCGATTCTCGATATTTGATTATGTATAAGAAGATAATGTTAAATTAAAAAATTTTCTCTTCAGAAATTCAAAATTTGAATATTATTGTGTAAATAATATTTTTATTTACTATCTTTTTCTTTTTATATTTCTACTATTTATTCATAGAATTAAAATGGGAATTGAAACAGGTCGGTGAATGGCGTCCAGGCATCGGTGTCAACGTGACTGACACCGCGGCCTTCTTCGAGCCGGGAGCAGCGAATGTCACCCTCCTTGTCATCACTATATTGGTGAGTCACCAACCATAAACTTATCTCCTTCTTCTGAACGTCATATTCATCCCTGTATAAAATCAATTTCTACCATCAAAAGGCAAACCGCGTTTCTATTCTCTAATAATACAATTTTCTCTTTGTGTCTTTCGTTCAATTTTCTCTCGCGAAATCCCACAATAACACAGAATAATATTAAATCCAGTCGAACGTGGAGATATCGATGATCGACTCATTTTACAATTCAGACCCAGACATTTCAGGCACACGAGCTATAACACGTCACTCTAAAAGACCTCGAATACGAGCAGCTAAGGAGTATCATCCATTGGTTGGGGGAAAAGAAAACTTATGGGTCCACGAAGTAATAAACGCCGATTGCATCGTTCGCGTAGCGGAATCTCGTACTTTATGTCCGGTATCCGTAGTAACGTGACACGTAATTCCGCGGAGGGTAAAATGGTGTGAAATCTCCACGCATCCGTGGTATAAAATCGACTGCATCGACAAGTCGTGAAATCGTTAACGATCGAATAACCGGCAGATGTTGTACTCTGAACCGAAGAATTCTTAGCCGAGGGTCCCATTTCCTACTGCGAGTGGAACGGAAATCACCGAGTGGAAACTAAAAATTGTCGTGGTATAACCCAGACTATGGTAAATGATAGTTCCTCAAGTTTTTCTTTTTCTTTTCTTTTTTTTTTTTTTCCAAACTTTTATCAACAGGAAAAATCTCATCCAAATAGATGATTGCTCGATCGACGAATTTCCCAAATTATCCAAATTAAAAGTGATTCCAATCGTCGTCATTACGAATCTCTCATCAATTTCGAAGAAAAAATATTCCGGAAATAGGAATAGAACAATATCGATCTTGCAAATGTTTTATTTTTATGTTAAAAATTTCCAAAAAAAAAAAATGAGAAAATGGAATCGTAACCAAATTAAAATAGCCATCGTTTCGAATCTCCCCTATTCGAAAAGAAAAAAAAAAGAAAAAAGAAGCCTCTCGAGAGCGATTAGGATAAAGGGAAACGTGTAGCCGCCCCTGCGCAAAATTTTCGTGTATCGTCCAGATCTGACAGCATGTTCCGTTGTTTGCATGGACACCCGTTGCGACACAGGAAATTCCGTACGTGATGATGCACTACGAAAAAAACTATACGGGGAACGCGCGGTTTTACGGTTTTTGCGTCGACCTACTGGAGGCGGTGGCGAGGGAGGTCGGCTTCTCATACAGATTGGAGCTGGTACCGGACAGGAAGTACGGCGCGAAAGACCCGGAAACCGGGGAATGGAACGGCATCGTCAGAGAGCTCATGCGACATGTATGATTTGGTTTGTTTAATTTCTCTCATCTCACTCTTATCTTTCTCTCTCTCTCTCTCTCTCTTCTATCTTTTTCTCTCTCTTTCTCCCTATCTGTTTCTCTCTTTGTGTCTCTCTATCTCATTCTCACACCCACTTTCTCGCCCATACGCGTGGTTTTCTCCACTTAGAATAATTTTATTAATATAGAAACACATGTTTTTGTCACAAGTTTTTTTGTTCTCTATTTCCACGAAATTAAATCTAGAATTTTATATATATATATATATATTTTTTTTTCTGATTAGAACACACTTACACTTACATTCTTATGTGTTAGTCGAAGGATATCTTTTTGTGTCGTGAACAAACACAAAACGCACCTTAGATACATTAGGCTAGACACTTAAAGTTTAAGGATTTATGAATATATATATATATAGATGCACTGTACGTGAATTTAGGTTTAGGTTTGTTGTAAACACAAATACATAGATAAAAAGGGTAGTCGAGTACAATTCTACACAAATGGACGCAAACGCGCGAACACTTTTCAAGCCTGAATAGGATTCAAGGGTGGAATAATTGTTACACAATGAAGATTGACGAGTTTCAAGATGAAAAATTTATCGCATAATTTGTGGAAACGATTTCTTTCTTTTTTTTTTTCTTTTTCTTGTCGATTTCGATTAAAATCACCTCACAAGGAAGATTCACAGAACATGGAAGACCAAAAGTACTTTCGTTCACCGGACACTTTTTTTCTACGTCGAGTTTAAATGTAATCGTTGAATAGGGTAATAGATATTTCATTTTTTTCGACGACTGTTTGATTTGACCAACTTCTAAATCATCGTGATCGATCATCCGCTCGACTTATGGCCATTTGACTGATAAGTCGAAGATAAATCACGATATACGTTAATTATTCGCTAATGTCTACGTGACGCGTAATAAAGCCCATAAATCGTGGATCATAGGCTGGTAATTAACATTCGTGTAAGTGAGAAACATTGTGAATCAAGACAGATATTTCATTGGCAGTAGAAATGTGTTTGATTAATCCTCTGCGGACAAATATATACAAATAGTTATAGGAAAAGAAAACTGTACTTATTTAATATCCTTTTTTTTAAAAGAAAAGTTTTAAAATTTTAAAAACTGCATTCGAAGATTTTTTAAATTGTAGAGCTATTATAAATTTTGAAAAATTTGAAATAAGTGAGAAAAAAGTGAGAAAAATTTTAAGAATTTTAATTTTATTTAGCATAAAATGTCTGCAAAAGGTTAATTAATAGGATTGGGTATTAACAATATTAATTCTTATTCGAAGAAATTTTTTATTTATAATTTTTATCATTTTATTTGTATTTAATTTGTATTTATTTCATTTCACTACAAGCTTCACAACAATATTTTTTTTCTGTTCTCCAAAGTTACTTTTCTTCTAAATTTACGTATAATTTTTTTCATATCTTTTCACTTGTTAAACTGATTATAAAATCATTTGAAAATACTACTTTAATAAAAAATACTACAAATTTATTCGAGAACATCTTTATTTTTTATTTTATTTTTCGAATCAATTAATTCGTCTCTCTGTTTCTCATTTTTATTTCTGGATAAATATACCCGATCCTGATTTATAGTCACGTATAGATAAACCAACGGCTTACGGAAAAGTTAATCAAGAATTTCGTCAACGGTTCTCTTCTATCGGTTCTCGAAATTTCACGAACTCACCCCCTTCTTTCTCTGTTCCTCTTTCGAAATACTGCAAGTTGGCGTGATTAAGCCGCGAACACACACGACTAATTTGCAATTCGGGGAATACCGAAGCTTCGATGTGCGAGCACGCTTCACGCCCGTTTACCGAAACACTCTATCCAGCGGTGAACTTAAATTAAACTTAAATGAATTGGATTTTCCAATTACTCGACCGCGAACCACTTCACCACCGCGGATTGCCTCCATCTTTTTTTACGTCTCAACGAACACTACACGTATCTACATTGAAATATATACGCGATATCGTTCTTCTTTCGTTTCTCGAGTTTAATGTTTAAAAAACAATGTTTAAACTTTGGCCAAGTTTGGGCAAAGCAAGCCCATATTTCATACACCGTATAATCGATTCGTCTTCGTTCTCTCACAAGATATACGGGATGATAATATTATTCATAGATATATTCATGGGAGGATTGATTTTAAGGGCTGAAACAAACGCGTAGGTTGGTGTACAAAAAATTAATTATAAAAAAAATTTTAAATTTTAAATGAACAGAGGATGATAGATGAAACAGCTCTGTCTCTGTCACATTGTTGTCTTTACCGCCTTCTCGTTTCATCTAATCACAAGTTACGTATAATTTGATAAGCCTCGATTTTCTTCTTATTTTTTTTTTTTTTTTTTATATATCGATTCTATATCGATTCTCCATAGACTAAATCATCTAAATATATTATAACATATAAGGAATTAACATCTTATATAATAACTTTTGCTAAGAAATCATAATCTGTCAATTTTTATTTACACAACATCCTGTACACATAGTATATAAGATAACCACTCGATGCATTTTTTTGAATTGCTCGAAAATTTCTTCAAAACAAGCGGAACGACGGTGAAAACGAGGGTGGTGCAACCCTTGCTCCAAGTTCTCACACACGAGCTCCACGTACATAGTAGATACATTGTCTCGAGGGAGTTCTCGTGGTAATAGTCTATCGAGCAGTAATCCATTTAGCCAGTAATCAGCATCGAATGACGCTGAGTGCGAGGTCGTACATTTACGGTAAATATCGATCAGAATTGGTCGAGGCACGTGGAACAATTTGATAATCGACATCAATCATAACTCTTTTTCCTCGCGTGACGATTAGAGTAATTCAGAAAATATAATTACCAGAAAGTAGATAAATAAAAACTCTGAATCTTTCTATCTTTCTATATATTTACGATATCTTACGATTATCATTACGAGATGACAGTAAGGTGGATGGGTGAAAGAAAAGAAAATCTAGCAGACCGATCCACTGTACTGAAACCGAAAGAGGAACGGAGAGAAGGAGGATGAAAATAAAAAGAGAACGAAAGAAAAGATTAGAAGGATAGGGTTGAAAATGTTAGGAGAAGGGGTAAGGAACGTATACGAATAAAATAACGTAGAAGGAGTGGTCGGAAAAAGGGGAAAAAAGAAGAGGAAGTGGAAGAAGAGGATAGGTAGTAGCCTCCTTTTTGTGGTCCCCATAGGAGCAGCCATACGTTATGGTGAAGAACAGAGGGAATTTCAGCGGGAACGCACGTTACGAGGGCTTCTGCATCGACCTGCTCAAGGAGATAGCTCACATGGTGGGCTTCGGCTACAAGATCGAGCTCGTTCCGGATGGCAAGTACGGCGTTTACAATTACGAGACCGGCGAGTGGAACGGAATAGTGCGCCAGCTGATGGACAAGGTGAGTGTGTCTATTCTCGAAACAGTTCCGCGGAAATTTGATACACGCGCCGAAAGTTCGTCCACGTATTCGACGTAAGAAGAAGAACATGAGAAGAGATAGCACACAGTCTCCTCGTAAGTATACGAATTCAAAAATTATTTGAGATAAGTGTCCCTATAGACGAGGATACCAGAGGACATGAGAATATAAAGGGAGTCGAGAGATGAAATATTGTTTTACAGTTAGGTTACATCTGTTGTGATTCGAAGATTTAGTCTGTTCAGAGATGTGAATATGATTGTAAATATAATAATGATTTATTAATGTCAAATTTTTTATTTTTTATTATTTTTTTTTTTATTAGATTGATGTTACAACATATCGTTATACAGATTATATAAAATATAGGATGCAAATATAGATAGAGAATATAAAAGATGGTTTTTGGGGCTCGTTACTCATTAAATGGAACAAGGGAATAAAAAGTTTATTAAAAATAATGGTGATATATGTACGGAATGAGAGAGTTATGCGTGCTAATAAATTGATGAATGTTAGTATGAATGTGTCAAAAGTATCAAAAGTATATTCCGTGCTAAAGAGTTTCATTATTCTAAATTAAATAATTAGAGAATATAAATGGATCATGGTTGTTCACGATTGATTAAATTTCAGTTTACAAAAGTTTACCAAGATATAAACATTTAATTATTTAATTATTTGTAATGCTCGCGTTTATTAGAAATATTCCTGAGCTCCCTTGTCAACAAGAATCGAAATCTCGGTAATTTCGTGGTATATACATACCCTTTTCTCAATTGATTCTATATTCCAACTAATCTTGTACTTCTTTACAGTATGTACTTGTTCTATTATTATTACTATTATTATTAAATCGTTTATCCCCATCGATGGGAGCGCGTGTCTTTTTCTGCAAATCGCACAATTTCCACAGAAAATTGCATAGGGGAAATTGTCGAAGCATGGAAATTTCGCTCAAGTTGGTAATAACGCTAATTCTCTAACTCCATTACTCGATAGCATTCGATTCCCAAGTTGGCAGGGATCTGCTAGACGTAATCCTCACTTAATCAATCGGGTTCGCGCGTATTACGCTGTTACCTGGTTCGCGCGTGGTTTGAAGGGGGTGGCGACACGAAACTATGCTTTCGCACCTACCCATATATCCAGGGGAGGGGGAGACAGGATGCATGAACCCTTTCCACCAACCGTTCCGTCGCATCGACTCCTGATTTGCATTGCAAACTCTCTCTCGCTCTCTCGATGGAACGTGTCGTCGCGTCCTCCGCGTGTCTTTGTTGACGATAGTTAATCGAGTACGTGAATAGATGTACCTCGAACTTGGTTCGAGGGAAGTAACGTAGTAGAAAATTCTGATTTTTTTTTCTTTTTTCAAGCGAATACATTTGTGCTCTGCGTAATTTTTTTTTTTTTTTGCTTTGCAATATTCGTTATTTGCCCTCGCAATTTTCCTTTTAATTGTGTTCGAATAATGTTGTAGGATGTGCGGGGACGATATCAGAAATTGGAAAATCATTTATGGACAGTTTGAACGGGAAATATTGTTCACGAAAAAATTGGTGACCGAGTTGTTAAAATTATTATGTAAGAGTACAGGATTGACGTATAGTAAAAGGAATTTATTTTATCTTTATTTTTTATTATTATTGCAATTTTATATTGAGTGTAACATAGTTTTTAATCTTGTTCAATTCTAGATTCAGCTTCAGGACAACGATTCAGCGAATCTTACATTTAAACATTTATATCCAGTTTAAATCCATTTCACTGATAAAACGCATTATTTAACGAAATAAATATATAAAATTCAATAAAATTTGTAATTCTTTTTTAAACAATTGTTACAATTAAGTTATCCACGTAATATTTATGTACGAAAGCGTACGCAAATACGTATATTCGATGTTTGTTGAATCGCGCGAAATAAATCAAACAAATTGATTCGTTTCATTTGCTTCAGGAATTCTACAGTGATAAAAAGAAAAAAAATAAGATTAAAACTGTCCCAAAAAAAAAAATATACATATATATATATATAAAGCTGTGTATGCAACGTGTACTCAAGTTTGAACGAGGAGGAATTCCTGGACAACTTTTCCAATAAATCTACCGTCGGGAACGGGCTATTCGGTATTCTGCAAAGCTCAAGTCGAATGTGTACTTTCCCGCGCGATGCATAATGGATGAATACGATTTTCGCGGTATCCCATGGAACAATTAATATCGCGATTTTCGATGGAATTAACGCGGTAATAATTTTCTCGAGCATTTACTCGAGCAAAAATTTTCTTTCTTTTACTTTTTCTTTCCATTTATTACTGTTTAATAAAGTTCAAACAGCCTCGATTATAACACTTGAAATAATGCTGATGATATACAGGACTGTAGGAAATATATTTATTCAAGATAAAAACTGGAATATTTTAATAAGTATTTATAATTTTGTTTAATGTTTGAATCGTAAGCAAATAATAAATGTAGAAAAATATGATGTATTGTATGTATCCATAAGATTATCTTAAGAAACTTAATACAATTTCAATAACGAGACTGTAACTCTTTGTATTTTTTAGTATTTCAAATACTTTGGTGAATATGTCGGAAATTTGATAGTTTGATCAAAATAATGTATAAATATTTTATAAATTAACAAGTATATAATATTTATCTAATGTATTAATTAATCCAATGATTCGATTCGGGAAAAGATTTGATCTGGAACACGTACTTTGATACGTTATTTATTCCAATAATTCGCGGAAGTGTGATCTATATTAATAAATCGGGATTTGAAAGTACGAGAGAGAGTAAAGAAAATCGAGAAACTTCATCGCTAGAACGTGGAAATTCGTGATAGAATTAATTCGAGCAAAGATAATTAACGGTTAAACGAAACTCGTTTTAAGGCCGCGTTCTCGCAAAGAACCTCGAAGAGAAATTCCCTGCGGCAACCGCTACTTTTTTCTCTCCTCTCCTCTCAGCTGGGACACGACAGCTGGTACAAAGCGATTCGCTCTATATCATACCACCCCGTGTTATTAATTTTGTCAGATGATCATTAATAATTCTCACGTCGGGTTGGTGGGAAACTACGACTTAATCACCACGATTTTTCCATAAAACCGGTACTCTGGGAATTCGATAACGAATAATCGATTCAACTTCTGCCATTCTCTTTTCCTCTTAATACCGATAAATGTGTGTATGTATAATTTACGCATACATCTATC